ATCTGAATATTTTGAGTGTAGAGTTCCTGGAAAAAACTATTCATAAACAAAAAACATTCATAAATATATATTAAAAAATCAAAATTCAGCAATATTAAGAGACTTATTGAGATTCTGGTCCCACTTCTGAAAGCAAACTGTTAAAATATTGCAGGGCTGCTTTCTATACGCATGGAGGCTGTGATGTAAACATGTAAATAACGTCGTTCTCTGCTCCAGGGTCAGTACATCCTGACTCTCTCTGAGGACATTGTGGACGGACATGAGAAAGCCATGCAGAAGAGGCACCTGCGCATCGACCCGAAATGTCTCCACTTCACTCCAAAGGACTGGAGCAAAAGAGGAAAGTGGTAAAACAAACAAACAAACAAAAATAATCAGCTTCCTCTTCACTGAACCCTCAAACCTGGACAGCAGTCATGGAGCAAAGTGTTGGATCAGATCAAGTTTTTTTTTTTTTTATCATTCTTGGACTTCTCTTCAGATATACAGTGGAACATGGACTTATTTGAGATGCATAAGCTTTGGTTCGCAGCTCTCATCGTTTATTGATTAATATATTTGTACATTCTTGGAAATGAGTAATGACGTAACAAAACTTGGCGCTCTTCACTGTGGAAACATTGCTGGTAATTAACCAAAATGGTGGGTTTAAAGAGACTGAAGTTGTTTGTTTAATAATGTAAAATTAAAACCTGACATTGGAAACGTTCAAGCTGTCCAATGTGGGCATTTATAGTTTTAGCTTAAAAGTTAAATATTTATTCACAACTCCATGTTGTTGTTGTTTTGGGTTTGTTTTTAAACTTGAAATTATAATTATTATTTGATCTTTTGGTCAACATCTTTTTTCATATTTCAAGTGTGGATATTATCATCCAAGTTATTTGTCCTGGAAAGGCTTTAAAAATGATCCGACAACAGAAACACATCTTTTGGTTTTTCAAATGTAGCATAGTTTAACAATATTCCATTGTGCTCTGATTAAACAATGTGCTCCACACACAAAAACAAATATTATTTAACTATTTCAGTTTAAGTGACATTGTTTCCTTTTAAAAAGCAGCCAGGCTGCAGGATCTCTAATCTGTCCTGGTGGGTAAAGGAGGGGAAAAAACTCACAAATTACAATCTGTTGCTAAAATTTAGAGTAATGGATTAAATTCACAGAATAAGACACATGTCCAAGATAATTCTCAGTCAAAATAATTCCCATTTGTGGTTCTCCGAGTGCCTGAAATTTTAAATACGTTCCTTGTAGGCTTTCGTTTTAGTACCAGCCTATAAGTGTAGTGTTGTTGTAACGATGGCAATTTGAAAAATATCTATTCTTCACATCCTCTGTAAATATTTGTATAAACCAACATGATTATTCAGGTTTATCACAGACCTAGTTCTGTTTTTTATTAACCTATTTTTAAATAGGCAGAAGTACAAATGCTGCTGTGTGCTGATCATTAAGATTTTTTATTTTTTTTTGTATTTTATTTACATCCTGTGTCACAAAATATTTTCCCTCAGTTAAATCTGTTACTGGAGACTGTAAATACTGAAGACAGAAGCCATGCAGAACTGTTAGAGGAATGTAAAATTATTGTACAGTTCCTTTATTTTTAACTCTTATCTAACAGGCTGCACAACATGAAAGAATTAAGTGATAAACTTGTTTTTATGTTTACATGTGGAAAAAAAGGTGAATTTGTCCTGTTAAAATACTTGGTATATCTTTAAGTGTGCAACACTTCAGTGTCATTTGAACATTTGATATGGAAACCTTGTTGAATTCATAAAAAATGTCCTAAAAATCATACAAGCGTCTTTAATAGTGTATATTGAACCATTTGTTTTGTATATCCTCCTCATCAGATGTGAGCAGATCTTACTGTGGTTCCTGCAGGGCGGATCACTTGTGTCAACAGGAAAAATGTTGAGCTGCAAATCAGGTTTTTGCAGAAAACGTTCACTCATGCCAGAGAAACTCACTTGGCCACGAGAAGGCGGAATTGAGTTAACTATTAATTGCTGCGTTAAAGCGAAGAATGGCGGATGCTCAAGTTTGGAGCAAATACTGGATAAAAGGTCACGCAACCCGATCTATAGAGCCACAGCAAATAAATTTAACCTCAACAGAAAGCAATTACTTTTCTTCATGAAGTATGACATTTTGACAAGTTTAGTATTTTATTGGTTTATGTGAAGTTTGAGTAGCATCTCTGCTTCACCACATATTCGCTCCAGTTTATTGAGCTGGACTCAATAAATTATCATCTCTATTGAGATGGTATTCCCATTACATTGATAGGAAAACTTAAATTTAATTTCTCACAAAATTAGAAGACCAACAAAATAAATTTTACACAAATATGTCACTAACATAGTATGGAAGGTAAGTGAAAAACCAAAAATAAGAAAAAAAAAAAGCTGGAAATGGAGGAAGAAAATTAAAGGAAAAGTTGCTCAACAGGAACAACCCGCATCCTTGAGAAGATAATTGATGCCAAGCCTTATCAATAGATTTTTTTAGATCTGAATTGGTCCAGCTGGAGTTCGACTGAAGGAACCATCATAAGTTCACTACTATGATATTCCTTGCATTAAACCAGTTCTGATCCAGAGACGATATCATGACCATCTTATCTGGGCGACAGAGGAGGGAATGATCTGTTGCTTAGTTTTGCAACCTCCGTTGTAAGGAGGTAAGTCAGCAATTTTACCTTGAAATCAAGTTTCAAAGGGAACCTCAACCAGATATTCAGTGCATAAACTGTACAGTACATGATGCTTTTCAATGCATCTCAATGTTTTACTCTTAGCTGCAAGCCTTAAATGTCAAAGCAGAAATAATTGCTTGAACTATAACACAGTGATGTCTCTTTAACACGAGTTCTGCTTTTTAAATGGAATGACTAAAAGTGACTTTTTAGATAAAATGTTTTTATTTTAAGTATACCTTTAAATGTATGAATCCGTTCTTATTTTAGTAAGTGCATGTCCACATGGTGTCACTGTAACATCAGACAGTGTTGTTGGGAAGTTTACCTACAAAAACCAAAGATGGTTAATTCATGTTATTGGTCAAAATGCCACCAGCGTGAAAGTAGATATTGAGATCTGGAAGTGTTGGGGTTGGTTGGACCAGTGTGATAATGAGTAATAATCAATTCTGTAGTCAATGCTGGTTTTATTTCTTTTAGTCTGTAAGATTCATTTGGGTCTGATATAAGCAGTGAAAATGTAGCATGATTTTCTGTTCTGTGAGGATTTCTCCTTTTAAGGCTCACCTCTCTGATTAAAACACATTAAAAATTAATCCTCTTGCCATTAACTGGCACACCAAGACATGAGCTTGTTTGTTAGAAAACTGTTTTGACTATCATCTCCTGCCTCTGTTTTTAATTTTCTTATCTCCCCAAGACACACCCCACCAACACGGCAGGCCTCTCCTCCTTCCCTGCCCCCAACCTCAGACCGGAGCTGTTGACCTCGTAACACACACACACACACACACACACACACACACACACACACACACACAGCCATATGTTACGGCCAGGACGAACCTCCATGCTGTAATTAGGGGGATGGTGCCGGACACTGTGCCGAGGTTAAGCAGAGTGACTCATCCTCTCCTTGAGCATCACCAAACGATTTGCTCAAATTTGCAGGTATGTTGTTCCTTTCGATGCCGTGCTGGATGATGATGATGACGACGGAAAACAACGGGGTTAAACTCCTGTAATCTCATTGCTGCTAAGCAGGTTGAGTGTTGTGGTGATCTCAAACCGCACTGGCCTCACGCTTAGGACGTACACTTTATAAATAAACACACCGTCACACAGATGCACACACTCCCACTTTCACCTTTGCCCCTGCAGCTTTTGTGTCTTTATCTCTTGTGTGCAGAAACATCAGTTTTGCTGCATGTTGGTGGTCTTAACATTACAAGCCAGACCTTTCTACAAAATTAATCAAACGCACCCTGATAGATTTATTCATTTTTTTCACTTAAATGTTTCAGATTATTACATATATTTTGATACATAAAGAGTTGACTGCTGTTTTGATGAAGATGGCTTTCCACTACCATGATTTTTTTGTTGTTGTTTTTGCTTTAAGATCCCAAAACTCTCCATGGGTGCCATTTTTTTTTGCTCAGTCATTTTCTGATGGTTGCATCATGAACCTTAAGAGTGAAGAGAGGTCTGCTTGCCTTTGAATGTTTTGGGTTCTGCAGTGGATAATTGTTCTCATTGCGGATTGTTGGAGACGTAGAACCGTCTTTTTAACCACTTCCAGACGAACTGACTTCAAAAGACTTTATTTATTCTTGAATGTCTTTCGATCAGGACATGACGCGACACTTTCTGAGATTTTCTAACCCATTTCCTCTCGTTAGACGGGTCCCATTTAGGAGATTCCTTGATTTTACAATTCAGGTCTAATGGCCTTTAGCAAATTTTAACTAATCTCCAAAAAATATTAATAAATGTTATAAGATGCAATTCGTTTCTAAAACAGAGTTTGATTTGGATATGCATAACCAAGGTTCTGATTCTGAAATCGTCATTTGAAAACTGCTTTTTTATGCTTTCTTTGTCTCGTATGAAAATAATCTGAAACATTTCAGTGCAACAGAATCTGAAATACTTTTTCATAGCTCTGCATGTGAAAAAGAGCTGGATGTTCAGCTCTGCCTCCGAAACTCTGGCTCAGCAAGTCCTGACCGAGTCAAACCGTGTTAGGATGAACTCAGAATCTGGTCATTCTGCCTCTGCAATGTTCATTAGTTCAGGCTAATTTAAAAACAAACTAAAAGCAAACATTGGTTCTCTACTTGTGATTCTGGTTTCCTGAACAGGAATCAGAGACGGAGAACAAACCAACTTTTTTTTAGCTTTGTGCTTTTTAGTTGAAAACTTTTACAAATTGTGTAGTACTTTTTTTGTTGTTGTTTATATTTCCTTCTAATTTATGTAAAGCTCAGTGAACTGCTTGTTGCTGAAAATGTGCTATAAAAATAATATTATCTTACTATAAGCAGCTGTTTTCTCTTTTATGTTTAAGTTTTGTGGAGTCCTTTAGAAATACATTCCTCATCACACAACTTGGTTTTCATTCCCAGATTGTCTCAGGGGACCATATAGCATTTTTTTTTTAAAGTTCTCCACAAATGGGAGCAAATGAGCAGAAGCTGTGATTTCGGCATATTGCGTCAGCGTCCACCACGTTGCTTTTTGTCATCTTGTGTTGTTGTTCAAGCCTATTGAGCATGTGCTTCTGCAAATGTTTAAAGTGACCCTCTTTGCACGGCGGTGTCGGTCCTCCTGTCCTGTCCTCTCCTCTCCTCTGCGGTCTGTCCGTCTCTCTGACAAGGAGACGAGGAGGAGGAGGGAGAGAAAGAGGGACGGAGTGGGAGGAAGAGGGGGGACGGCTTTGCTGTGATGTGAATGGAGAGCGAGAAGGGAGAGAAAGAGGGAAGGAGGGAGGGAGGGAGGCAGGGCAGCACAAATCAACCTGCCTCTTCTTGACTTCAGCAAACAGCACAGAGAAGCAGGGAAGTGTGTGTGCGTGTGTGTGTGTGCGCCCTGCGAGCTATTTCGCGATTCTTCTTTCTTTCTTGTTTTTTTTTCTTTCCCGTTTTGGTTTAGAGGAAGGGAGGACAGCCCTGGGGAGGAACGAGCTGCCTCACCGTGGAGATAGATAGCAGAAAAATGCTGTCATGGGGAGAGAAGGGGAGCGAGTCGGCAGAGAGGAACAGGATGGAACAAGGCAGGGTCGAGCAGGACTGAAATGTGGAGGTAAGCCTCGTCTTTCTGCGCTCCCGGCCCGCCTGCGTCCTCTTTGTGCTGATAATGAATCTAGACGGATGGGACCGTGTTTCCTCTGTATCGGCACGCGTGAGGCTCTTACAGGCTCTCCATCCATTCAGAGACAATGTAGGGGATAGAAATAACGAGCAGGCATCCTCCCCCCTCTGCCTCATGCCCTTTGTGTTTCTGTCACCTCGCTGGAAATCACGTTCTCCTCAGTTAGAAATGCATCAAGCCTTGAACATTCACTCACGACATTGGACATTTGAAAGCTCCTCACAACCTTTGTCGCATTTCATCCCAGGCCTGCCCTCCTCTCCTCCTATCCCGACACTAATGCACCCTCCCTCCATCGCCTCCTTTATCATCTACCCCTTCACACACACAAACACGCTGTCATCTATCCTGTCTTCCTCCATTGTGTGCCCTCCAATGAGGCGATTGTCTTTAAAATCCAGTGTTATGACATTGTCAAGAAGGCGCCGCGAAACCTTGAGCGCTTCTGGCTGCAGGATTTAGAGATGAGGGGCAAGGTGGAGGGAGCAGGGGGGAGGATGGATGGATGGATGGATGGATTGGGGGTGGGGGGAACACTTAGAGAATGAAAGATGCAGGGATAACAAAGAGAGCATCCTTATGTTTCACGTTTTCAAATCCTGCTCCGTCAGTCTGGAATGATTTGCAGAGACGGTGATGGAGGGGAGAGACGCACGAGCTGGACCAGGGTGTTGTTTTCAAGGTGGCAGAGAAAATGAGGGATGCAGGAGTCAGGCTCTTCATCCTTGACTGGTTTAAACATGGGGCTGTGCGTCAGGGATACGGGGTCCTTATAGAGGCTGCAAAAAGAAAAGCTGAGCGGCAGGAAGGCAGGCAGCGGCGGCTTATGTAAGCCAGTGCACTCAAAGGATGGGCCATTTCATTTCCATTGAGCATCATGACTCCTTGTCCAGGCTGGTGTTCGCTGTGGTTGGTGTCAACATGCTGAGGGATGAAAAGCAGCTTAAGCTGACAGGACAGGAAGGGTTTATTCTTTTCTTCTTTTCACCACGGTCGACTTTAACTTGAAAAATGCACCTTGTTCTCCTCCTGCAGATGCTCACCCTAACAAATATTTCAGCATGAAGTAAGTGCACGATGGTGCTCAGACAACACAGAGTGACCTTTAAATTTTGCTGCTGATGACATTTATAGTCCTGCCTTCCTCTTTGCATCAAACCTAAAAGCAGTGAAATTTGTCTGCCTTGTAAATATGTCCATACTTATGAATTTGTTTCACGTTTTGCTGCATTACAGCTACAGATTTTGATGTGTTTTACTGGGATTTTATGACTGTTCAGTCCATCATTCAGAAATAAATCAGCTTGGTCATTAGAGTTCATTAGAGAATCAGCCAACAAACCCAGAAGGAACAGAGATCTAAGATCTTCTGTATCTCTGGAATAATTGTTGACAGGATGATGGTTGTTTGTTGCCCCCCTCTATGAAACTGGGGCAAGTAGGAAGCCTTTATAAGTCAAATTTGCAGTTTCTCACAGCACATATTTCTAAAAACCACTTGTCTTTTTTTGTCTTCCAGTTTTGTTGCTCTATAAAATAAAATATATCGAATTTTCTGGTGACAAATTCAAAAGTTCACAGGGTTGAATACTTTTGTAAGACTGCGTTTCACTCACCAAACAGATTCAAGTTTTAAAACCGTCTTGCTTTAGAGTTACCTAGCATAGAAACAAATATAATCTAAATTAGTAAATTACCAACATAATCAAAGTCTTTGTTTGACGTCTAAGTTATAATTGATTTTTTTGTTCCTAGCATTTCACATTGAAACGACTAAATTTTACCTGCAGGTCTCTCCAGGAAAGAGGTTTTAAAAGTCACACTAATGGAAATTTACTCCACTTATTATAGTGTGGCAATTAGATTAAATTGGTTTTCATTATTTTTGTAATCTAATCACCTCAACCAATTATTTTAGCCTGTGCTCTGAGAGTTAGAGCACTTTGTGTTAGTGGGAAGGGCAGGTGAGAGTTTTCAGGAATAAAAATGCAAATAACCATTTGATTTAAAATAATTAAAAAAATAAATTATTTGCATATATTTATCTTTTCCTTTTTTGACTCTTGAATGGAGTGAAAAGTAGTCTTGCTTTTACATTTCACCTTTTGTTTCTTCTGTTTCTATAATCTCAATTCTGATAGATATTTAATGATTGAAACATTGCATTATTATTATTATTATTATTATTATTATTATGTTAAATTCTTAATAATTTGATAGTGCAGCCTGAAAACTTAGAATTTAGTTTGTCAGAGTATGAAATGATTGATTCTCTCTCTTCCAGATTCAGTAATTATTTTCATCTAGTCTATAAGCTAAAGAAGAAAAGGTTTCATCTGAAAATCATTGTGCATTGCTGCTGCTACCCTTGCATTTAATAGATAAATTAGCAGCCAGGAGCTTTTTTTTTTTTAATGCAGTTAATTAATTATTTGTGAGCAAGTGAGAAAATCTCCATAAATACTGCAGTTTTTTGCTGTAGAGTCTGTGGGTGTGTGCTAGCTTTTACAAAGTAAGGAAAGAGAAATGTGAATGTAGGCAAATAACTGTTGCTGCTCATCAATCTGGGAAAAAGCCCTGTAAGGTCGTTTTAACATTTTCATTCATCTGCAAGGAAAATATGAAACATAAGTGTGAAATTTTAAGCTTTTTGCAGGGTTGGGAGTAGAAGTCCCTCCAAATTCTCAGAGAAATTACAATCCCATGTTCACACAGAGATAAATCAGCACATTAAGTAGTAATATTCCCCCCCCAGAGAAATTTCCACTGAACAGACATCAAAACACGAAATGTTTAATGCTTGAGCAGAAGTTGGTTGAACTATCAGACTTTAAGCTTCTTTTTCCTGTGAAAAGTTTGGCTGAGAAAATGGAGCTAAATCGTGACAATAACTGGCCAGTATAAGGAGAGACGATTGGACAAGAACATCTAACAAATATGACTAGTTTGAAAGGATTTCCAAGACAAAGTTGCTTCTTTCTGCAAAGAATATGACGGTATAAAAATGAGACGGCTCATTTTTGGTGGAGAGTTGACGATATGGTCTCTTCGATTGACCTTTCAACTCCCCTGAATCCGCTTTTCCATTTGTGTTTCATCTTCCGGATATACCGTACATGTTATATCTGTTGGCCGAGGTTTTATACAGCCAATATGAGATTTAAATGAAAGAACATACTATTTTAACCAGAGCAAAATTACACGTTCTTTTGCTAGTCAGTCTTTATTTCTGAAGCACTTTTCCCCAGAGATTTCAGAGTAAAACATAAAGTGTTGCAATGGCAAACAAAGAAATGCGCCTGTTTTTGACAGGGGAAGTCTGACGATTTGATAACAGTGGAGAATAAAAGGCAAACAAAACATGCAAAACTAAAAAAATGCATGATATCTAAGGCTTGGTGAAAAGAAGTAAACCCATTAAAAGAGGGAAAATGAGAATAGATTAGCATATAAATATCAAGTAACTTAAATAGCTAGAGTTAAACAAAGATAATATATCAGACTTAAATCAATAAAAAGAAGAACCATAATGAGTGAGTCTTTGCTGGAATCTGGGATATTTTGCTGTGGGTCAAAAACAAAATCTACCAGCCAAATTTCTGCTTCTTGAAACAATAAAACATTAAAAGGCTGATATTTTAGCTCTTTTAAGTCTCTTTTTTTGCAGCCCTGTAATCTCAGGACTATCAATATACCGACGGTTCTCATTGTTGCATCTATGCACTAAAACTTTACCAGATGAATTCATGCTGGTATCATCTGATGCCAGAATCTAGACCTTAAACTTTGCTTTCCAGACTTCTACAACCTACACAGTTGTCTACTTTCAGTTTGTGCTGCACAAGATTATCATGTGGGATTTAAATATCGGGACGTTACTAGGCAGATTTTGCTCTGGGCTGAGTCAGCATTATATCATCCGTGGTTTTTTTAGGAGTTTTTTTTTTTGTGTGACTACGCCCTGCTAGGCTCCCTGTAGGGGCTCACAGTGAGGAAGGCAGCTTGACAAGCTGAGCCTCCCCCTCATCGGATGGCAGGATGCCTCCGATATGAGCTGCTGGGTGAATCCTCTCACCCTGTTCTCTACGCTCTTACCTGGCCCCAATGCGCCATTTGGTCCTTTTGTCATCGGTTTTTCCTCCTAAATAGTGGGAGGAAACATAGTGTAGGTGAAGGTGCTGTGATGGAGAAGTATGATAAATATCTACTCAGCAGCAGCCATTTTCTTATTGGTGGAGGCCTGGAGAGTTACTGCTGTGCTTTTTAAAATAACCGTCTTGATGCTTTTTTCTATTAAAATGTCCCTCAGGGATTTTACAAGCCTCATTGTCTGCACAAGACAAAATGTTTTGACTTTTCTACCTTACATATTGGAGGAACAGCCACTGACTTAACACTGGAAAAATAATCTATCAACCATTTTAGCCTGGTTCAGAAAAGAGAAGACAAACTTGTCAGTCATGTTCTATTAGCATAGTTATTGTTCTTGAAGCTGCAATTTGTAAGTTTTATTAAACATCTTTGGTATATTTTGCATATTTGTTAAAGGTGTCACTACGTTGCAATAGCTCCTCTGCCTCTTCCCTGTGGTCCTGCTGCCATCTGCAGAAATACACCACTCCTTCAGAAACAACCAATCACAGCCAGGAGGAGTGTCTTAGCGCTGTCAATCATGCTTGTGTAATGTTGTTCTAATGGTGGAAAAACAACTTAACATTACAGACAAACTGTTTATAGATGTCCATGCTAACTAGCTTGAGCATTCAGTCTCCATTGAGTGAAAGGAGCTGTACCAGCGTATAGCAAGCACGTACACAATCTTAATTGACAGCACTGAGACCTTCCTCCTGGTTCTGATTGGTTGTTTCTGACTGAGCGACGGCAGTAAAGCTGCAGGGAGATGGCAGAGAAACTCAATTTTCTTTTATTTC